AGTCAGGGTCGCCTGCTGGCACTGAGGTCCCTCATTTTACAGGTGAAGTGAATAAAAAATATCACATTTGTAAACACAGTCGTGGCTGTTACTGTCAGTGGCTATGTCAGATTGGTTTATTCATGCAATCAGTTGGACCGAGATGCTTTGGATGAGGCTTAGGGTTAATCAAAGGGACACTGTGGACCAAGATCAAATCTGAACGATTCTTCCTCCCCTTTGAGACGTGTTTTTCATATGGTGGATATTTGTTCTCCTCCTACTCTTTCTTGTTGTTCCCTTTCTTCTTTCCTTCTTTTTTCTACCTTTTTCTTTTTGTTCTCTTCTTCTCTTCTCTTCTTCTTTCCTTCTTTTTTCTACCTTTTCTTTTTGTTCTCCTCTGTCTTATTCTCTCCTACCGCTTTCTCTACTTTTCTACATCATTCTCCTATTTTCTCTTTCCTCTTGCTTATCTTTCTCTTTTTCTTCTTCCCTTTCTTCTTTTTCATTCTTCTATTGTTCATGTTTCTTCTTCTCACTCGTCTTTTTCCTTGTCTATCTCTTTTTTCCCCTTTTCTTCTCTTTAGTTGTGCTGTCCCCTTCCCCACAGTTTTTTTTTTCAGGGATCCCCACAGTGGTTATTCTCCTGTCTCCATTGTTCAACCAACCATCCCCCATGTCCATGCCTCCTTTATTATGAACATTTATGAACAGCTTTGTAAATATTTTCTCCTCTTTTGGAATTTATTATCAGACACTAACCCAGGTTGATGCTCATTAAAACCACTAAATGTCTCTGGCTGCTTGATTGGTTTTCCAGGGTCACAATGTGAACGTTCTGACCATAGACCATGTGACGCCTCTTCACGAGGCCTGCCTTGGAGACCACGTCGCTTGTGCCAGAGCTCTCATCGATGCAGGAGCGAATGTAAGTCATACATCGGCCTCTTGACACTTTAATGTTGCCATAATGCACGGGTCAAATGTAATTTCCACGGGTGGGAAATATCTGGGCAGGGGTAACAAACGAGCGGAGCGCACGGCTCTGAATTTGCAGCACAGCTATTAAGGTTTTGGTTCTCCTTCAACACTTCCCTTAGGCTGTTGCTATTAGTCAACTTGCATGGCTAAACAAAAGCCTAAATATAACAATAAACTTCAAATGTGTTTACAGGTCAATGCTTCTACAATTGATGGAGTCACCCCGCTGTTCAACGCCTGTACAGTGGGCAGCATGGCATGTACAGAAATTCTTTTGGAAAATGGAGCAAAGCCCCAGAGCCTGGTGTACCAGCCCTCACCCATCCATGAAGCCACCAGCAAAGGTACATCATAATAAAAAAAAACAACTGTATGAACTGTAGCAGGTCATGCTGCCACCAACAGGTCACCACACACAACTTCAGGTCAAGCAGCTCACAGCTGAAGAAACTGTGCATTAACATACAAGGATCCAAGGCTATTTTCTTTTTTCAAACAGTGGTGTGCTGTTAACTCTTAGCTCAGATCTTAGAAACAGAATTCGACTGTTTCTGAAATTAATCGAGGACTAACATTGACTGTTTCATAATAAATTTCAAACTATAACTTTTACTCATCCTATAGTTAAAGGCTTCAATTATCTTCAGCTAATTTAGGCTAACTTTCAGTCATCCTTTCATCCACTCTTTGCTTCTCAGCTTTCTTGTTTTCTATTTCTGGGTAAACCATCTGAAGGCTTACTGTAAGCTGTATTTCTGCTTTCAGTTTTTCAGGTGACAGTATTTTTCAGGGTTAGTTTTTGGGATACTTTAAATCCCTGTGGTAAACCATTATCTTACTTTTAGCTTGAATCTATTAGCTATTCTAAGTTTTTTTTTTTTAGCAATTTATACTGGACCTAATGAACGTTACCACGTAGCTAAATGATTATTTATTAACAATTTCTTTTTTCAATCTAGCTTGTGATATGTGGTCAACTCTAAATGCACCTTTTTGAATTCTAAGAAAGCCGAGGTGGACATTCTCCACAAGGGATTTGCTGAGGTCAACTCTCTCATTTCCAAGACCAATAAATGCCAATATTGCGAGAATTTTCAAGGGCAAATGTGGACATTTAAATTTCTGTCGCCGTTACAGACACTAATTGGCTCCAGCACAAATGTCCCTTTATGTGTGACCAGCGGTCAGAGTCTCATGAGGTCCAGCAGCTGCTGCATTATTACACACCAGCACCAGCTGTGACCATCAGCTCATCTAAGACTGTGCAGCCGAGGGGGCAACAGCTCCTATTTCCACATACATGTGTCATTTTAATATCCCATTTATTAAGATTTATTTTTAAAAATACTGATTAAAAAATCTTTGAAAGAAAATTAAAGACCAAATTTAAGGCATTTGCTTCCCATTATCTGTATTTTGACATTGAATTATTGCTCTATTAACCACAGTCCACAATATCATTGTAACTAACTGTAACATTTTGGGCTTTATCCTTGTTTTTTAACCTATATTTGTGTCCTTTGCTGTACTTTAAAGTTCTGTTTTAACAAACCCTCACTGCTTTAAAAACACACGACGTGACCCGAGTCGACAGCTTGGAGAATAATCTCACATTGTCACCGACTTATTACCGCTGTCGCGCTCCATTACTTTCAGGTCATTACGGCTGTGTGGAGGCTCTGGTGACTTGGGGGGCAGATGTGGACATGGAAATTCCTCACCTGGGCACGGCGCTCTATACGGCCTGTGTCTGCCAGAAGCTGGAGTGTGCCAGGAAACTCCTGAGGGAAGGTCAGCTCTCAGCACACTGGATCTTTACGTTTTCCATACTGTTAACAGCTATGCATCGAAATAGAGAAGCAGAGGCAGGATTATTTTATGTAACTCAATACAAAAAGCAATTTGGCAGAGAACATTAGTTTGTCTTATTTTGTGGTTATACAAAGAGGGATCAGGGCATCAGGATAAAAAACTTTTTTTTTTCCGATAAAATATATTTGGACCATTTGAATATCTATTTAATTAAATGATTTAACAATTATTTGACAATTGTGTGGGGAAACTTGTGTTTTTCTTTCAGAGCTTCACATATTCATGACTATAGTTCACAGATATGTTGGTTATTAATATCTAACCAACCAATTGTCCATTTGATACATGTCTGACTAATTTTCAGCTATTTGTGGTTAGCCTTTATGAACTGACTTGACTGACAATGTAATGGCTTAGCGATAGTGGTTATTATTATTATCATTATATAGATATTTTATCATGGCTAACACTATTTTAAAATCAAACCAAACCATACAATTTGGGCTTGATTTTTGTTTGGGTTGTCTTTTGGCTAATTTCAGGCAACACCAAGTTAAATACAAAAAATTGGGGCATATTTATATTAATGATTTTATATTTATATAAAAAAAACTGACATGGAAACTCCAGTAAGTGTGCTGTGGAAACCTATCTCACCGTTTTACACTCATTTCGAAAATATATTTTTGTATGACAATGTATTTCTAGGGCACTTTGCCCAGAGCTCTGCCTAATGTCTGACCTTGGTTCATGCCATAACTCTAAGTGTACTGTATCTATTAAACAGGTGCAAATGTGCAGAAAGGCAAATCCCTGGATTCACCTTTACATGTTGCTGCAGAGAAAGACTGCACAGCAGTAGTTACGCTGCTGCTGGACTTTGGTGCAGACATTAATGCCAGGAACACAGAGTTTTTAAGGCCAGTTGATGTGGCTCCTCCCAGCAGTATAACAGAAGGCTTTTTACTTCTCTATGAAGGTATGCTGGTTTAGTAACAGGTTTCTGTGGATAAAAAAACGCAGCTCTGATAAAAAAAAAAAATGTTTCAGGGATTTATGCTTTTCTCCGATTCCTTTTTATAACTTTCAGAAATATTTTTCCTACTTTTTGCAGCTACGCCTCGACTTTTAAGCCAAGTCTGTCGCCAGTGCATCAGAAACTGTGTTGGCCGAGATCGACTGCACCTTCTTTCTCACCTGCCTCTGCCCAACAGGCTCAGGAGCTACCTGCAGTACCAATGATGTCTAAGGACTCTACTAACCCATAGGTGTTTTTCAATGCTCGTATGAACTATTAATGTAAATGTAGTTCAAGAAAAGAGTAGTGGCCGGAGACAAGCTGTGTTAAGACTGCTTATCATGTGTGGACCATGATGAATGTGAAGTAAGACGTTGATTAGAACCTTCTTTTAGGTTGCTGTTTTATTTAATATTCAGATTTGCTGTGTTTAGACGATGCCTTGATAGATACAAGAGATATGTCACTGTGATGCACTGAAAAAAATATTCTAATGTGCCATTTTTTTGCCATTTGTAGTATTCTATACTGTATATGAGAAAATATCGATTTTATTGCACAACAGTATTTCTTTTTTTTGGAATTTTTGACATTAGATGTGAAATAAAACCACATATTGAAATATCTGAGAGGAATTATCTGACAAGTTTTAATCTTTGGATGCATAACAATGAACAGCTGGAGGAAGCTGACATTACTGCGAAATCTCAAGGGTAAAAATGTGTGTGGGTGGAGCAGCAACTGTGTTTGCTGCTGCTGAAACAATACATATGCTGTAATAATTCTCCAATGACACTATCAGGCGATATATAATAGAATAAACAGAGTGGCGGTATTAAATATTTTATCAGAATTAATACGTTTTCAACATAATTAATGTCAGGTCAATTACAATTTGCCCCTACTTTTTGTTTAACATTGGATTATTGTCTCTTCAACTACTTAATTTGATCAATGCTATGGTAAACTATCTAAACTAATGTTCTAGATGATGTTTTTTTCAATAGTAAATGTCAGTAAAATTACGTTGACTTTTCTAATTAACCTCAAATTCCACTAGAGGGCAGCATTTTACCAAAATTGTAGGTTGATTTTGCTGAAGCGCAGCATATTTATCAAGTAGAAATTAGGTCTCAGAGCTTCGATCTTGTCTTAATAATTTTTCCTTGAACCTCCCAGCTAAGTAAAATCGTTTAACGTTAATGTATACATTTTAAAACTATGACTTCCTGAAGTAAGATGTCATGCTGGCTGTTGTTATGATTTTAAAGCAACTGATAAAATTCTGTTTTTTAAAAAACAAAGTGCAATAAATATTTTCAATGACTAAACCAGAACCAAAAAGAGCTAACCCTGCAAATAAGGGTTAGTGACAAGGAAAAAAAAAACCTTTTTTTAAAAACAAATGTCCCAATATATATATAAACAAAAATCAATTTGGCATCTACGTTGTCTTTCCTGCCATTATTATTTCTATGTCTCAGTTTATAATGATACTTTAGTCCCTCCCCACATACTTTATGGCTGGACAGTATTTATCTGTGCCGGCAGATGGCAGCGCAAAGCCATGAACAGGATGTGTGTCTATGGTTTAGAATCCAAATGAAATTATTGTCATGTATCACAAAAGGACAGAAACCACTGTATTTAGCATAAAGGTTGACGCGATTCCAACGGTTCCCTGAGGAACACAGATGCCATCCAAATGTGCTTCCCATCATTGTGACCCTGACCACCATATAATTACATTTAGGCCCAGTCTGCATGATTTTAAATTTGCATTCACAAATGGTTAACACCTCCTAAACATAGATATTCCACATGTGCTTGTGCTCTTTGTGGCAGTTGAAGGTATAAATTATGAAAACAAATGAAATAATCTCAGAAATTATCTTTAAATAACACATCCCTTTCCACTTGACTGGTTTGGGACCAGTTCATCCCTTTCCACTTGACTGGTTTGGGAGGAAGGAAGGATTCAGACTGTGGTGGGACAGATGTCACACCAGAAGACTGACCTACAGACCATTCATTCAAGATTCAAAATTGATTAATGTTTAATGCAATAAAATTCTTACTTTGTTGTTCATCCTTTGCACCTGATAATATGCATGTCAATAAATAAAGAATAGGGAACTAAATCACAATAAGAATTCAAGTGTTGTGTGCAATACATGAGCAAAGTGAGGTAAAGGTGCAGCAGATAAAGGAGAGTGGTGGAACGTCAATAGATGTTTGGGTGGTGGGGTCTGATAGCCTGTGGGTAGAAGCAGTTAATCTCTCTTTCTTTTCTTTTGCTGTCACACTCCAGAAACAGAAACATGGCAGCAGTGTGAAAACGGGTGTTGTGAGTGTGAATTGTCCTTTATAATGTTGACCCTCCTGATGACCCTTGTTGTTGTGTTAATGTTCTGTCATGATGGAGAGGCTCCTACAGAGATTCACTGGGCAGTTTTTATCACACACTTTCCTGAGCAGCCTGAAGCAGCTGTACTGGCAGCCACACAGTAATAGAGTTGGTGATGACTCTCTCAGTTGTGCATCAGTAGAAGTTGCTAAGGAATTCAATTGACGTGCCAAATTTCCTCAGCCTTCTTAAGAAGTACAGCCTGTGCTGTGACTTCTTCAGGAGCTGCCAGGTGTTGTGAGACCAGGTGAGATCTTCAGCCTATCCCTCTCTGACCCACACATGTTTATTGGGACGTGGTGCAGCTTCCTCCTCTTAGTATCAACTACCACCCTATTGGTCGTCTCCGCATCTGAGGGTAGATTGTTGTCCTTACATCTGGCCAGTAGTCCTGTCACCTTCATCCTCTACATTGGTTCCTCTCCTTTAGCGATCTGTCTGGTATTGCTTGCACATTTCATAATTCTGGTGTTAATCTTACGATCGTGTAAAACAGTTAGAAAACTGAGTAAGGCATGGTGTTCAAAAGCCAAGTCTCTGTGAAGATTAAGGTTGTCAGATAGTCCATGTCATTTCCAGGGAGCATACATTCACCAGAAGCAAGCGAGTAGCCGTGGTCTTGTGGCTCTAGCCTTTAGCCGCATGTAGCCCTTTTGTTTTGTTTTTTTGCCACGATACAGGATGACTTGAAGTTTTAACCTGACCCATTTCCATTGGTTATAGGGTGGTAGAGTTCAGACCAGTTTTTTTTTTCTTCTCTTCCATTAAGCACTCGTAGGTCTTGCTTTGAATTTTGAAGACACTGGTGTGTTGTAACCAGTCTGGTTTTGATGATCTCTGTTTGGACTGTGCCATGTCTATTGTCTAGAAGCTTTGTGGGGGCAGAGAGCGTTCACAAATAACCAGTTGCTGTATCTGGTAAATTCCATGAACCTTGAGCTTCTGTATGTTGCTGCAGCCGTCTTCTCAGTTTGTGTAGGCATCCTCTCACACTTTTTTACATTCCAGACTTGACACTGGCTGGTATTGACCGATCTGGTATGGGCAAAGCCATTTTCAATATGATGGCTATGATGAAAATAAATCCTGACAGCATCCATCTCTGTGCAGGTTGGATCTAGCCTACAGTCAAACCGAGGACCATATCTACATGCATTTTCCTCTAACTCAGATCACATTTTCAAAAATAAAGATAAATAAAATAACAACAAGGATAATAACAGTTACTATAGTAATATGGTATTTGGTGCTATATAAATATATGCAGCCAAGAAATGCACAAAATGTGCATATAGTTTGTCAAGTTAAATGCTAATTCTTGTTAAGTAAGCATTTTTGTTTTTATTTGTCTTTCTACATATGGAGAAATACATGTTTAACTTATTGGTCAACGGTTGCTGAGCCACTTGAGCTTGAGATTAGAGTGTTGGCCTCAAACCTTTTCTACATTGTATTTGAGATTTATTAGCATCAATCAGCCAATGAACGACACAGTCTTTGTGAAGTCAGCCTGTTCTGTTTCCATGGCAGTGGCTGCCTGGTAGAGCCTTTTTTAGTGAAGCTATAAAACCTGACCTCCTTAATCTTCCTCTGTCTTTTCATTATCCTTACCACTGCCTGTTGATTTGTACAGGGGCTCGATGGTTGGATGAAGAAATATACAGGTTTGTTTATATATATATATGGTGATTTTTCATCCATATTTGCAAAGGGATTCATTTGTGAATGTAGTAGGAAATGAATAATTCACATGTCTATTATTTATTTAGTTGTTGAAAGCTATATAATTACAAATTATATTTTATAATTAATTCCAATGCTTTATCACTGAAGGTGGAGAGTCCCATGGCATGGGATTGAGAGTATCAGGCTTGTTATCAAAGAATCCAGGTTCAAATTAGATTTTGCCTGGCTTTAATGTGTTGAGCAAGAACAAATTCCCATTCTTCTAAGGAACTTCTGACATCATTCACTGCTCTCCAGGAATCGGTTGATGGGTTAAGGGCTGAGGACCTACAGTAAATGAATCCCCTGAAGTCATTCAGCAGTTTCCAAAGGTCTCTGTTCTCCCTATTATCCACTGTAGTTACTGTGGTAATCAAAAGTAAAATGAGCTGTTGTTCGATTATTACATCTCACCATTCAGGGTGAATACGTAACACCTTGTTGCTACAGTGACAAGCAAACCTACAGTTTAGGGCATACAGAAAATTATACCGACAAATTACAACGTAATACCTTAGCCTAAGACAATACAAGTGTTTCTATGTGGATTATAAATTGTACCTCTAACAACAGCAAAAGGTCAAAGCAACAGGAACCCATGGTAAAAAACAATGAAGCAAAAATAAAAATATGCTAAGGTCACATAAAATACAGGATGTCCTTTCCCCTGCCTGGCATTTACCTTTGGTCTTGTTAGTTTGAGATAAGTCATAATCAAATACTTTTTAATTAAATAAAGTTGGATATAGTCAAAGGGAAAAAAGAGACTCAAAGATTTAAGACGCTGTTAAAACAATTGTTAATATTAAAAGGCTTATTATTCCTGTAATTCCGTCACTTCTTAAGTGCCAGGCTAAGCATTAAAAATGAACCATTGCCAGTCTCTTACGTTAGAATGTAAATGTTACTGATACAGCTGTGTGTTGTTGGGAATGTTAACATTCAAAACAATTATATATATATATATATATATATATGTGTGTGTGTGTGTGTGTGTGTGTGTGTGTGTGTATATTCAAGTCTCAACAATAAATACATAAAGTGATGAATAATATGACAATAATACAACTAAAATAGTTTTTGTCTTGTTTGTTTTCATTTAAGCAGAGGTTCAGTTAATGCAGTAAAGCCACTGTGGTAAGTGAGGTTTTCTTTGCTGGATTAAACCATTTAGTCTGATAGCTAGGGGTGTACAAAATTAATCAAAGAAGGACAACAAACTGGCATTGGCCCTTCTTTAATGTCAGACAGTAAGAGAATATTCAATTTCACTTTTAAAGGTACAGTTTCACTGTTGTGATCCCACATTCTGCACCAGCTGATGATGAATACCCCTGCAGCGCACATGGGCTTTTCTGCCAAACACAGAGACCACCCTTGGTTTCAATCAGCCCCTCTGACTCCCTGCTCTTCTACCTCCTTCTGCTCCACCAGGGACTGGGGAGGTTTTTCTGCACTTGCCGCGGCAGCTTGCAGTGAGCAGCAACACAAAGACTGAGTGATCCTCTGCATCCACGTCACTCTGACAGAAAACACAACTGACAGCCTTTAGAGGAAACATCTAGACCAAGTGGACAAGTGATATTTAGAGAAAGGACAAACAGGAGTGCCCTGTGGACTTCCAACTCAAAATAGAAAAGGTAATATCGTTTGTAAACCACAAACAACATCAGCAAGAATGGAAGAGGACATGGATGAGGGGCAGACCCAGAAAGGTAAAAACATTGTCTTAAAGGTTGACTTTTTAAAAATACTTTCATTTTGTCTCATTGCTGCTGGTGCAGAGACAAAAGCAGTGTTTGCCTCCCCCCCTCTTTTTGAGTAGGGGAGCAGCTGTTTGCTGTGATTTCCTTTGTCCATTGAGTAGCAGCAGAGCACTCCGGCACTGAGTGCACGTCTGTCTGGATGTGTTGTTTGGGTAAAGTCTGAGGGGTGTGAGTCTCAGAGAGGGATGGGTGGGTTGGACACTCTTTGTTTGTATGATTAGATTTTTATGCATGTCACCATGGCTGTGTGTGTGTGTGAGAGAGAGAGAGAGAAAGAGAGAGAGAGCGAGAGAGAGAGAACCAAAACATCTGTCTTCAATGATTAAACCAACATCTTACAGGTTCTAAACTATATTTAGGAGAAATGTATTTTCCTCCATTTAAGGACAAATTTGTGTTTTACATTTTCTTCTCCTACACCAACACCAACCAACAAAATTATTCTGCATGACTGCATGCACTGTTGGGACACAAGCAACTCAGCTGCATCTTATTGTCTCAGTAAAACATTACTCTGAATACAATGGTGGTTCATTTACCTCTTATATCCCATCGCTCCAACTTGCAGCTCTGTGTGCTGCTCACAGCCACACAGTTGAAATAGTTGCCATGGCAGTGGCCAAGAGAGCTTTTTATCTACTCTTTCTTCACCCACTTCTGCTGATGACATTTCAGCAACACAAGAATAGTCTGAGTCCAGAGTGTGTGAAAGAAAGGCAGGACGCAAAGATTCAAAGACGGAGAGTAAAAGTAGAGAAAAGAGAAGCATAAGGAGCCAGAAAAAGAGACATCTGCTACACGGAGAAATAAGTGCTTCAGCATATGTGGTCTCCACTAGATAAATTATACTGTATACGGCTCTAAGATGATTCTTAAAGGTGCCATTCACATGGTAATGCATATTGTCCCATTGAAAAAGACAATTCCTCTTGGTCGCCATTACTAGGTGTGCATTCAGATGATGTTATTCAGAAAAAAAGCCAACTCCATCTCCTGTGGACACAAACACAAATGCTCATCCAACTGAAAGACGCAGCCATGCAAGCTGTGCATACATCTCTGCATGTCATGTCCATTTACATGGCAGGAGTGCAGGTTTGAATGGTCTAATTACTGCACTGTAGAGTGAAGTCATTGCCTCAAAGAAGGATTATTTTTTAACATATTAGTGAATCAACAAAACCAAAAGTGAAGCAAATACTGCTTGTGTGTAACGCAGCCAGAGTTACTCAGACAGAAAAGCAGCATCAATGCTGCACAGGAGTCACACAGTTTCCTTGGTTTATTTTATTTATTTTTTTGCAGGTGACGTAATTTTTTTGCTACATTATTTGGTTTAGTTAAAAAAAGCTGACGGATGTAGTATAACATTATTTTCTGTCTAAAGTAATATAAATGTTTAATTTATATTAATAATTTGTTACCTCCTCCAGCTAGTGGTTAATTGTGTTACAAACAAAGGCAGCCGTTCAAATGGTGCAAGTGCATTAGTTCAATTAGTGAAGGTTGTTTCTAAAGAGGAGGGTCAGGGTTTGCTACTAGGCTACACTGGTGTAGTTACCAGCAAGTCACCGTTGTTAAATGTGTTATACTAGGTTCTTCCTGGCAGATGTGCCAGCAGCAGGGGAGCAGTAATGTGAAAAGAACGAGAAATGTTTAAATATGTTAAAACAAAAACAAACTACCTACCATTTATATTAAAAAGAGTGGTAAACATTTAAATGTTTAAAACTAAATACATTTAATAGTGAATTTCAATTACTTATTATTATTACATAATAAATGGCCTAAGATGCAAAATATCTTTGGTAAAGCCTGATTTATTTATTTATTTTTTTACTTTTGCAATGTTAGTTAAGAAAATTAAAGGAAGCATGTTTCAGCACAGCTGAGTGTCTTACATTACACACATTGTTGGATTAGTAAACATCTTAGATCACAAATGCTGGAATTGCCCCTCAACATGATCAAATAATAAGATTACGGTACATGAATGTCAATAGTACATTTAAAGCCTTTCAATTATGGCAGTTGTTTAATAAGATCAAAATAGAATATTGCAGGTAATGGAATGACTGATGAAGCATAACACAAGGTAGGATAAATGTCTTGGGACAAGAAAGCAGGAGTCACTTATATGACAGGCATAAAAAGTGACATCTCCCCTTTATACAAGCCAACAGATGACTAATGTGCTTGGTCAGACGAGGCATGATAGACACTACAGATACCCTGTCACAATTATCTTCACGCCACCTGCATTTTGTGGCTCATCTCTTTCAATTTATGTGCCAGAGTAAGAAGCTTCTTCCATCTATGAGTTAGAAGCTGGAACCAACAAATCACAGCAAACTTGGAAAGCCACACCAGGCAAAGTATACTTTTAAATTTATAAGTGTGAAGTCCAAACACTGCTTTCTTGTAGCTATAAAGTTGCTCCACAGGATGTAATGCACTCAAAGGTCAAGAGATTAACACAGTCAAAGCTAATGCCAAGTGTTTGAGAGCAGTGGTCAGAGGATCACTTGTTCATGCTTGCAGTAATACTGTTTGGATTGATGCAACTTTATTTGCAGTAATAAAGATGTCAATTTTGTTTGGGGCTTCTTTAAATAATTTGCATAAACCACAAGGCCATAAACCCCTAATATTATGATAAAATAAATCAAAAATATAGGGGATGAAAAGGGTGAGGGTCTGTTTCCGAAATCACTCACTCATTCCCTACTCAATACTCCCTTTTTGGGGAATTATACATTTATTATACATAGTGCACTGTATAGTGGACCAGTTAAATGAAAAACAGTTACAGACACGCACAGTAAATGATGTCATTACTGTCGCACAATAAAAATGGAGGGACGGATGCTTCTACTCTTTCCACCATGTCGTCACAACTGCAATGCATGGTGGGATATATTGCTTGGGTAGTGTAAATAGGATGTACACTGGATTCTGAGGTGCATTGTGGGATACACTAAGTACCATATATAGTGGACAACTACTACAGTGGGCAATCAGGTTGAAGCTTATTGCAGGTTAGGTTTTCTTTTTAGGTTTTTAATTTTTTTTAATTAATTCACTAAAAAAGTCCCAGACATAATAAACACCATCACCCCACTAGTTCTATATGGCAGTCATTTACACTCCAGTGAAGGTGTGCTTGTCACTGAGTGCACTGAGCTGCCTAATGGCCTTCTGTCTTGTTTTTCTCAAGGTGCAAATCTCTGACCATAAGTCAAACACAGCAGGTGGATACTGCTCACGCATGGTGTTGGCCAAATATAGTCAAGTACAGACACACACACACACACACGCATACGCACACACACAAACTACATATGAACCACACAGGCCACAGCCAACGGTGAGACAGAAATCATTCAGTGGTTGACAAAGCAGGTTTTCACAGTCAGATTGAAGGTGTTTCTGTCCTGTGCATAGGTAGAGCTCTGTTATGTAATGGGATGACAAATACCTTCTGCAAGATACTTGAAACAAACAAAAAGGGATTTGCCATGAGCAGCATTTTTTTCAATATTATGCTTAAAGACCCCTCATGAGTTAAATCTAATTATATGATTTTTACATTATACACCTACAAATACTGCAAAATAATGACCTCTCCTCAAGAAATTTCTTGTCTCTGTCTTTCTCTCCCTCCCTCTATCTTTCTTTCGCTTCATTGTTTGGGATCGAAGCAGAGCAAAAGCTCAGGAAGTTCCACCAATTGTTTAGTTGTTGGGACTAACTGGAAAACTTTTCAGGCTTTTCTGAAAGTTCTCACAGGGATGACTCACCACCACTACTGATCATTTAATGACAAGTGTTCAATATCTGGGGTTGCACTTTCAGGGAATTAACCCGGGTCAAGGGCTGACCCAAAGAATGAGATTATAAGTTGCTGTGGTATATTGCTGCTCTCACTGAATCTTTTTAAATTACAATATTAAAAAACATACAAGTAATTTTGGGAAATGTGACTTACATGATGCATTGAGAATATGCTATTCAGAAGAAATAACCCTGTAGCAGAGAGTGTCACAGTCATTGATATTTGCTGCTTAAATTTAAAGGTCCCGGTCATTTTTCCACGAGGTCTGGTATTTGTACCTCAGTTCCTGGAAAGACACTGATGCACACACACACACACATAAATCCCTGCTCAGCAGTCACACACTCACGTCCAACCTCAGTGAAAAACAGGAGAAAGGAACTCATGTAGTGAGCTTTTAAACCTGGCTTGTAATGTCTCTTCATGCCCTCAGGGGGGTTAACTGTTAGAGTGTCTCTTTCACTATTGTCCCACTGAATTTGTTGACATACAGTACAGTAAGTGGGTCATGGTACTGAAATAACCAGGGCCTATTTGCAGATTTTGTGTTGTGGTTGATATGGTAACCATAGTGGTTGATTAAACATGCTGAGAAGATGATGGGGTTGAGGTGGGAGTTCATGCAGAAGCTGAACGAACCTGCCCTCTTCAGGGCTGGAGGGGCGGGGGAGTGGTAGGAGTTCACATTGAATATAGGAAAGCAATGAGAGCCGTGCAAACACGCCATCCCCCCACTGAGGTCTTCCTCTCCCTTCCCTCGTCTCCATAATAAAAGACGATGACTGCTGCTACGACACCGGGAAACAGGACGTCTTAACTGATACTAAAACTGTCAACACTGTTCAAGGTAAAAACAAAATCTAACATTAGTCTGATGAAATCTGGAAAGGCTTCATCACTTAATCAACTCACTGCACAACAATGTATTAAATATTAAATAAACAATCCATTGCATCTTCCTCTGCATTTAATTAACACCTTATTTAATTGGAAAATATGCATCTCAAATGTAAAACCATTGAAGGGTAATCTAGACAGAATGGCCTCGGTGAATTCAGACATAGGTGAGACAGATCGAGGATAAGGTTTGATAGGTTAGAAAAAAACTGGCAGAACTGTAAATATGACTATAACAGTGAGTTATTAATTAGTGTCTCAACTAGACTGTGGGTCTGTGACTAATTAGGTCCAAATATTTGCCAATGTTAGCAATGAGGCCTCTCTGAAGGAGGCAGTTTACCTCTAAGCATTTTTTCTTGAGAACCTCAAAAGCTGAGTGGGTCAGTTAGGGTGTGTGTGTGTGTGTGTGTGTACGTGCATGTCTGAGTGTATCCCTTTCGCCTGTACGCCTGGCAGATGGAGGAAAAGTAGGAGGCAGGAGGAGCCTTTGGTGGGAGGTCACGCTTTCTCTTTGTATTAGAAAGAGATGCCTTCTGTTGATTGGATCATAATGTTTGGGGTCATAGAGGATTTCCTTTTTTTAAGGCAGGCTATTTAAATATTTAAAACCCAGTGTCGCCTAAAAATCTGGCGTCTTCAAAGTGCAATTGTTAGTTTTCAAATATTAATGTTTGAGAATTAATTTCATCAATCAAGTTGAAATGTGTTTGCAAGTATTCTGCAGATTCGTCACTTCTCAATAATGTTGGTGGGTAAATGCAAATATTCTAAATTCTGATAGCAGTGTTTTATTTCCAAGCATAAATGTTTGGACATTGAAAGAATCCTAGATAAACATGAATAATTATAAATAATTAGTAAGGATTCTTTGAAGTTTTTGTGTGGAGAACTTTAAATAAATAAATTAAATAAATTGAAATAAATTGTCCGAATTAACTTAGAAAACTCTAGAACACTAGAAAACTCCACCTTTCCTTAAACTTCTACAGAAAATACTGGGGCTCAGGGACGGTTCTGGCTAATATAGACCACTGTAAATGTTCGTGGATTTTGGTGGGGTGTAGGAAACATTTTCCTCAACTACAATGGTTTATTAAAATATTAATTATTTAATGTAGTGGGTTTCTATTACTTGACCGGATCACATAAAATCAGTAATGCCTGAGTCTGTCCTTCATTGCTCCCACTGGTCCATTCAACACAGCTTTGCCAAAGTCAATTACGCCATGGCTGACATGTCAGTGCAGGTACTGAGTGTAAAGTTGCAATACATCGGTGTGATTGATCAATAAAAGTGCAAAATGGAGCTGATGATCTTTAGTTTTCATTGCAGGTAATGTTGGTCAAAGTAGAGTGCATTAATAATAAATGTCTGAGGCTTTTGCTCTGCTGCTTTGTGCCTCTTCTAAATTATGGATCAAGCATATATTCACTCACTGAGTTGGTTCTGGCCACAGCTTGCAATTTTTTTTCCAGGTTGTAATTTACCCATTTACCAAATCAATCATAAAGTGAGAGGATTAAATGTGTTAGACTTTAATAACCAAATATACTTTGAACCAAATGTATTATGCTCTAATGTTTATCCTCTATGAGCAGTTATGCTGAACAGAAATAAATTAAAAACATGTCTACAATTTCTTTCCACACATGTTCATGATACAGATGTAGCAGCACATCCTAAATAAAGGCATTACATTATATATGAACAACTTACCGTCATAAAGCTAAACAACCAAATTCATGCCAGGTATATATATATATTTTTTTTACTCCACTACATTATGGTCACTATTCAGAATCAATTAGACATAGTTAATTGTCAATTTAACTATAACTCAGTAGCATATTTGAATAAATTGTGACTTTGTTGGCAAGATTAATTTACTACTAAGCCTACAATGTGGAAATTAATTAACTTTAGAAAAAAAATAACTACAGTGGGGCTTCAAGATACGAGCTATCTGAAATACGAGTTTTCCATGTTACAACTAAGCAACTTTTGCAAGATTTTTGCTCATCCAAGCTCCACTGTTTCAAACGACACTGTCAGAATATTATGAGCATAAAGTGGACTGCCCTTTGTTGTCACTCTCATCTCATCACTTAACACCCTCATGTCAATAAATCCTGTCAGTGCCTGCTTCCTAAAACAATAAGGTAGGTGAGGATAATGAGGAAAAAGGCAGTGACATAATCCCTTTCTGTGTTGGCAGCCTTTCAGGCTTAAAATAGGACTGGGCTAAAACAGAAGAAGGTGTGTATGTGTGGGCACATAAAAAGGTTGCTAAAAGGTGCAAGCAGCACAAAAAGGTTTGAGAGAAATGAGACAACAAACTGAAAAGATTATTCTGAGCTAGTTTTAAATGGATGGATAGATGGATAGATGGATAGATGGATAGATGGATAGATAGATTTAAATAAAGTAATAAGTAACAAAATAATAATAGATTAAAAATGATTTTTTGTTCACATTTATTTTTATTCTAACTGTTCATAATCATTCCCCATGCTTCAACTGTTACTGTTGGTCATGATGTAATTCCCTAAAATAAAGAGTGAATATCTATTCATACTTTATCAGATTTAATTTTCATTTCTTATCATTCAGTGCCAAACAAGAACACACACAAAATAAATTCACAAATACGTTTCGGTCAGTGGGTCACCACCCGTCACCACCTATTGTACTGTGGCGTACAATCTATGGCTGAAATGAACTGTGAAAGCAGGGCAGAAAGTTCAACAGTAAATCACATCAACATGAATGCAGAACATTTCCACTAGTCTGCACTATCGCAGGAACTGCAGTGAGGTTTCACAGAGCCCAGCAGTCAGCACAGCTGCTTAGTATTCTACTCAGGCTTAGATGAGACTCAATAGCAAAGAGATCAGGGAGAATGAGGAGGGGGAGGAAGAGGTGTAGGTAATGCAGGAGGAGGAGGAGGGGGGGGGGGGTTATTTACTCTGTCTCCTGCTATGTAACACGGGCAAAGACAAGGAGATAAATGATAAAGAGATGATGCTGCTGCTGCAAACAGCCTGAAGGAATGATCCTGGATATTGTTTTTTCCCCCCAACACGCCTATCACTGACAATAAAACCTCTGTCTAATCTTGTTTTAAAAACATGACGATGTGTCTGCGATGCTAACGATCAGAAAGGCATGTTTTTGTTTACATTTTTTGCGAACCTTGCACCTGAGCATCAATTCAGACGGTTGTGTCCATTTTGTTGCATGTGCTCGAATAATTGCAGTGCCCTGTTCAGACATGACAAAGTTGGTGGTTGCTAACAAGAGACATATACTTTTTCTGCTGCTTCCACTGTGATAAATTAATGGCTCAGACTAATTATATGAGTATTTGTATACTAATCAATGTAATGTTTATCATTCCAATCTCTCTCTCTGTGTGTAGGATGCCTTGAATGCTGTATCAAATGCCTTGGTGGAATCCCATACCCTTCCCTTATAGCCACAATCCTGCTGTATGCAGGCGTGGCTCTGTTTTGTGGATGTGGACACGAGGCTTTGTCCGGCACTGTGAACATTCTCCAGAATTACTTTGACGTGATGCGGAGCCCTGTGGATGCGCTGGATGTGTTTACAATGTGAGTAGACACAGTACTGATCAAAAGTAAAAAAAAAAAAAAAAAGTCTAGTCCAGACACACCAAATTTGATATTTGTAAAGTATCTTGAAGCGACCCTTCAGGCAGAGCCATTTTTAAAGTTCTATAGGAAACGTTCTACATTTTTTGACCCATACTTGCTAGACTGTGAGTAATAATTCCGGAGATAGGTGCTGTAATAGTCTGATTGGGGGGCTGACTTGCATCATCTTTTTCTTTATATGCACTCTAGGATCGATATCATTAAATACGTGATCTACGGCATTGCTTCTGCTTTCTTCGTCTATGGCATCCTGCTGATGGTGGAGGGCTTCTTCACCAGTGGAGCAATTAAAGACCTGTATGGAGACTTCAAGATCACCACTTGTGGACGCTGCGTTAGTGCTTGGGTATGATTTAATTTAAGCACTTCATATCTAGCTTAGATTTATGGTAATTACCTTACACCCAAACATTTACTGACACCATGTATAATAATATGGGAAGTTTAAAGAATGGAATAAAAAGCAAACATGACGTAACCACACATTTAAATGGGCCTGCATCCATACAGTTTTAATCTTTCCTATGTCATCTAGAATGCATTCTTTTTCATGCCTACACTGGCAACATTTTAATTAAAATGATCCATCACCAATAATACAATACAAAATCCCATACGGTGCAGATCACAGAGCTGAAGCTGGGATCTTAATAAGATTATTGTGGGAATAATTGCTCTGCCAATTGGAAGCTCCACATGGAGGCTAAATGGATCAGCCATGTCGGGGTATTCCTGATAAATGTTTTCATTTCGTTAGGCCAATGGACATATCTAAATTAGAATAGGAATAGGAGAATGAAGCAGACTGTTGTCTGGAAACACCTGGTCTCTTATAGACATTCTAAAACAAAACACCAAAGCTACTGTATAATATGGAAGAAATAAAACAAAAATGTCACAATTTTTCAATTATTTCAATTTTTAGTTCATCATGCTGACGTACATCTTCATGCTGGCTTGGCTTGGAGTGACAGCATTCACTTCTGTCCCTGTCTTTATCTACTTTAACATCTGGAACATCTGCCAAAATGCTACCACAATGGAGGACGCCACACTCTGCCTGGACCCACGCCAGTACGGTAGGTTTGGATGATTCCTCTGCCATTCATCCAACCAAAAGGCTGAACATGAGAAAAATCAACCAAGCCTTATAAATATGGACGTTGGTAGGTATACAAATTGGTATGAAATTAGTAAAAAGAATCAGTGAACCAGTAAACCACAGCATCTCATGAAGATTGTTCATTAAACTCTAGTTAATCAGTAGCCTAACGAGGGTTGTATTATTGCAATTAGTGCAACCTTTTCAATTACACTAACAATCAGCCATTAATACTGACTCTATGTCAACAACGATTATGTGCTGCCTTCATGCATTTACAGGACCATGTGACCACTGTGTGACTACACACAGTAAAATTCAAAATATTGTAGGTTCATCCAGACGCTACAAATCTCTTGACAATGACTGCACATTATCGGTGCCTCTATTGAGTCTGTTTATTTTGTACCTCCAGCTTTGTATTTATAAATGTTTTATGTTTGACCTCACATTTTCAGGCATCGTACCTCTGGCTGAGGAGAAAACAGTGTGTGCTCAGTCTGAGAAATTCTATAAAATGTGTAAATCGGATGAGGTAAGATAAACTAATATATATAAAACTATATATATATATGTATATATATATATATGTATATATATATATATGTATATATATATATATGTATATATATATATATGTATATATATATATATGTATATATATATATATGTATATATATATATATATATGTATATATATATATATACATATATATATATATATATGTATATATATATATATATGTATATATATATATATATACATATATATATATATACATATATATATATATACATATATATATATATACATATATATATATACTATGCAAAAATGCCTTTTATTTCAGCAAATCTATACTATATCATATACATATTACATGGCCAAAATTATTATAAATGTGAAAAATATGGCTAATTCTCAAATCAAAGATCAGCTAAATACAGTAAAAACAGCTATTAATTAGCCTAGTAAATTAGCCGTAACAAGTAAGAAAAGACCAAATATATATATATTTTAAAACTTAAATTAAAAGAACAAGTCCAACAGGTGTTTCCTAAAGTGAACTTTACACTGACTGAAGCTACTGTAGTGATAATTCTAAATATTGACTGTATCTATAAGTCTGTAGTGCCAATGATGACAAAATTAAGAACTTTGTTTAGCAGATTTATATGATAATAGCTCATGTTAATGTGTTATAAATTTAAAGACTGAAAAATGCCTAACTTAAGTCTTGATTTATAGAGATGCCCTCATGACAAGTTTTGTGTGTGAATCGTTTATTTCACAGTTGGACATGACATTCCACCTGTTCATATGTGCCCTGGCTGGAGCTGGAGCTGCTGTCATTGCTATGGTGAGGCTTCACCAACTGCTGCACCTTTCTCACCTCCTGGGATGTGACAAAATCTCATTTAACTTGAACACAAGGGGTGGGGGTTAATTGTTATCGATCTATGGGACTGTTCCCAAGAAACTATTCCAAAATTTTTCCTGTCAGCGTTTTTTCTCTGCACAAGAAGAAATGACCCTATACTGAATTTAAATAGGAGGAATCAGCAGGAGGAGACTGCAGCTGGGTAAACAGATGTGTTTTGTTGTACCCCGGGTTAAATATTTGACTGTGAGAAAATAGCTTCAGATAGGATGGAAGGCATTTTGGTGCAGTGAAAGAGACAGGGTTTGCCTCTCTACTGCCCTCCCTCTTCCCCTCCCTTTTTTCAGAGGCGCCAGACATGTCAATGTGTTGTCATGGAAACAGGGAGAAGAAAGACTTGAAAATCGTAGCAAACATCTCTCAGTCATTGGTGACCAAGAGCATTTCTCAGAGAAAGAGACAGTGTTTCCAAGTGGGAGATGATGGCACAACAGTTTCTTATAATAATGTAGACAAAAAACAAAACAAAACAACATACAGTGACATATTCTATCATATTCAACATTGAGCAGCTCCTAAAAAGATTACAACAATTCTCACATTTTCCTACAGGCAAATATATTATTGCTTAGTATTTATTCAAGGTGATACACATGTGTTTTACTTTTAAAAAATGGTTTATTAAAAAGGTCAAACTAAATTCACTTTTCTATAATCTAAGCCTTCTAAACACATCCCACAATAATCAAAGCTGCCTTACTAAAATGTCTGAATGGACATGTAGGAACATGCTACCCCCTACTGGACAACTAGAGGTAGCGGCCTTATTATCATTGAAATTCATGTGCTGTAATTCAAAATCAATGTATGAACACATAGTCAGAGAAATATTTTGTGAACAAAGATAGACAAAAAATTCAGAAGGCACTGTTGAATCTGGAATGAAGCAGATATGCGTTTTTTTTTCTTTCCACACATCATAAATGTCTGACTTGATGTTCCTCACAGATTCACTATCTCATGGTGCTGTCAGCCAACTGGGCCTATGTGAAGGATGCCTGCCGGATGCAAAAGTATGAAGACATCAAGTCCAAGGAGGAGCAGGAGCTCCACGACATCCACTCCACTCGTTCTAAGGAGCGTCTCAACGCCTACACATAAAGAGCAGTGTGAGGCCTGGGCTCTGCAGCTCCAGCCCAACTCCCTCTCCCTCTCTCTGTCTCTCTGTCTCTCTCTCTCTCCCTCTCCCTCTCTCTCTCCCTCTCTCTACTATCATGGTGCCCGGGAGCCCTCATTGTCACAGAAGTTACTGGTGCGTCATATGACAACAATGTGGTCTGGGAAGGAGACGTCAACTTAATCCTCCCCAGTCACAAACAGCATTTCAAATCACTACAGCCCCTTTACCTCTCACAGTCATTGTTACAGTTGAAATGTTATTAATATTATTACTAAACAAGACTTGTTAAGCACTGCATAGTAGTTTTTGTGTAGTTTGTAGAATCAGACAGCAGTAGAAGTATTTTTTCTCCTTTTCTATTTTTATTTTCTGCATATGTTTTGACTTTCTTTGCATTTTTTTTCCAATGCTAGTGTCAATTTTCTTTTGTGCATTATTTATTTTTAAAACATTTCCAAGGGGTCAATAGGGGCTTTAATAAGGTTTTCAAGCACATTCCTCATGTCTGGTGTGTGTGTGTGTTTGTGTGTGTGTATGTGTGTGAGGTAATGTGGAGATTTCTTCCTTAAGAACTATGTACAGTACATAAAAAAAATTAAAATCTCACAAAACAAACGAACAACTACAAGCGTATTGAATTTACATATAATCATAAAAACATATTTTGATTGGAAACTTAATATTGTTTTTCAAAAATGTATTTATTTTTTTGTAAATTGTGAAATAATGTTTGCCAAAATATTTTGGTTCTATTTTCTTTTCCGAATGAACCAGAACTTTCTTTTGTTAAATTTGATGAAGGCTCTGTTTTTGTGTAATTGAGTGTGACTGGAGACTGATGGAATAAAATGAAAAATAAAATGAAATACCATTAAGGGGGAAAAGAATAGTGCTTAATATCACACTATTTCTGTTTACTCTGGTAAATAAAATACACTACTGTAGTGTAAATAACGTATTTGTTATAACAGCTACTCCAGGGATAAAAATCTGTTTCAATTTTTTTCATTTCAATTTTTTCATTTCACCCCAGACAGTAGCAAATCGATACAAACACCAAATCATTTTAGGATATTAAATAATTGCTTGATGTGCCAAGCCTGTTAAACAGGGAAACAATGGCTTTATCAAAGATCAAATATGGGATTTTTCAGTTTAACTTATTTCTTATATCCGTTTTATGATATCCTTACCATTTAATGTGTTAGGGCTGGCAATAATTACTTTGTCTTTCATATCATAAGACAGACAAAAAAGCACATGGGAACACAACCACTTTTTAAATTTCTTAAAATATAAACTTTATAAATACTAACACTACTGTCCTGTCAGAACTCTTTACTGTAAATACTGATATATCATTATGTAACTGCAGTATAGGTTAGGCACTGGCATTCACGGACAGGTTAGAGGAAGAGAAGAAAAGAAGAAGTGAGTGAGTGGTACTGTGCAAAAAGCCAAACAGACTTTAGATGTGTTACTCTAGAGGCGTTGTGTTGATCATTCTTCAAGAGAAAGAAAAAAAAAGTGGAAAAACTTCTTCTTCTCCCCAGTCATCCTCTTGCAAGTGTTTATTAATTTTATAAAAAGTTTGTCTTACAGTGATTTTGATTTTGACGGTATTTCTTGCCTGTACATCTTGTTCCCATTTTACTAATTGAGGAAAAACAGACGTGTTGGTCGTTTGGTCTGGCAAAGTTGAATTCCAGAAGCTAAAAGCTTCCATGCACTTATTTGACAATTTCTGTGCTTGCTCTATCACTCTCTCTCTCTCTCTCTCTCTCACTGTAAATGTTTTGGACATTGGTGTTCAACTAAAAGTTGGATTACTGTAATGTTAGTAAAGACTGTGAACTTAGATGTTTTTTCGTGGCATGGACATGCATTAATAGTCTTATTGACTTATGATAATATGACTTTAATTTCTGTTTTTTCTTTTGTTAGACATTTACGACTGTCTTGCTGGATCAACCTTTGTTCATATGTGCAGCACTGAATCTTTCCAAGCTTTTTGCTCCTAATAATAGAGACTGTAGTCTTTGGGTTATGTCTATTTAGTATGTAATGAGCTCTCAACCATGTTGTGATACTAACACCGACATTACTGACCTTATGACATGATTTAAGAAAAACGCGCTAAGCTTCTTCCTCGTTCTAGTCTTTTGTACTTTCACTACCGAGTTGCTTAGTAGCAGACTCCAAATGAAATGTTTTTGTACAGTCATGTGCCAACAGCTCACAGTGGCTTTTTTGACCTGTATGAATTAAATCTGCTTGCATAAATAAACTCACCTGTGTACTTGTTGATGAATTGTTTAAGTTCCTGTGTCAGTTTTATTCAAATCAGTCTGCTCTGTCCCACGAATGACATAATAACAAATACAGTTGTAGTAAAGGGAAGTGTGTTTAAATGATTGCATCAATCTTTTTAAACAAGAGTGCTTAGAATTAGGGCAAAGGATTGGAGAAGACAGGGGGGCTTGATACGTGTCTGTTGATCAGCGGCAAAAGTAAAAGGCAACAGAAAGAATCGAAAAGAACAGATGATGGACTGTCTGAAAAAGTAAACTATAACTAAGAAAAAAGGGGACAAAGCAGGAGGTACTCAGCCACGTCAGCTCTTGTCCTATGCTGTCCTATACTCAGCCAAGTTGCTGAAAATATAAAATAAATGCACTAGCAGATGTATCGTCTGTGTGCAGGGTGGGTTTGGTTTGGCCCCTTTACCAGGCCAGTGGTTTATCAGGCAGGTAATAAATCACAGCTGAGATTACACCTTGCACCTTGGTGCCAGACAGAACCAGACAGAACATTCAGTACATATGGACTGTGGAAATGTATACAACTATATTAGACTACAAAAACACACACCTTTGCTCTTAATAATAATGGCTCTTATTTAATAAGGGTTATATTGGCTATATATATATAAGTCTAACTCTTGGTGGACATTAAAAAATAAGTATAATACAAATGTAAGGGTTTGTAAGTCAATTAATTATTAAAAGCTAGGCCTGATCATGTGAGGGGACAACCCATTCAGAACAAGCTGATTAACTTCATGTCTAAACCACCGGTTCTTTTCTTCTTGCACTGATAGTTGTGTGATCCTTTCAAACCTAGGAAATCCTCTACTAATCCCGTACTCCACCCCCACAACTCTGATAGGTCACCTGTGCTGTAATTAGATCCTTAGCCTGCTCACTGTTGCCTGCTCTACAGACTGTATTTTGTTTGTATGGCATTGATTTTACTAAAGTTCTTTAAAGGATCTGGATGTCTTTTTCCCTCAACTCTTCTCAATGTGAGACTTCTAGATGCTTTTGGTGAAACCATGCGTCGTTTTCTCTATATGCATGTGTTCCTAAGCTGGCTCAGTATGGTTCGACCCTTCTGTCCGTCCCAGTGCACTTGTGTCTTCCATGGACGCACTGATGGAGCAGGAACCAGGTAAAAAACAACTCAAAATTGACTCTAACTATATAACAACAATATATTTGTTAACACGGTTTCACCAATGGTTACATAAGCTTACAATATGTGACACATGTATTAACTTGTCAGCTAGCTAACACTAGATGCGGTTCTTTTTAAAGCTTTGCTTGGTTTTTCTCCTCCATATCTTTCAACCATCATCTCTAAGAATTGCTTCAAAACCTATTCTAATTGATTTTAAAAGTATTCTTGAGGTCTTTTGACAATTTTGACACAGATGTATAGCTGGTCAGATACACCAAGTTGGTCTCAGTTCCAATAGTATGTGTATAAAAAACAAATAACCAAACACCATCTAACGATAAGTACATAATCGTCACAACAAATTACTCAAAATACAATCAACATTCTAAATAATGCCAAGATGCAAGTAGACAAAAAAGAACAGAGATGCAAATGGTTAGCAGAGTTCAACAAAAAGTTCACGTAAAATACCACTCATTAATTTGTAAGTTAAGCCTTTCTTGCAAAACAATAATTAAATCAATGTGTCACTGTGTAATTGCACTTGTGTGTTTTCCGTCCCCAGATCTGTCCTCTGCAATGACCCAGACATGTCTGACATCCCTGTCAACGTTCCAGTGGACACAACAAAACTTCGATTAGAAAAAACTGCCATCCGCAAAATACCCACAGAAGCCTTTTACTATCTAGTGGAGCTACGTTATCTGTGGATAACATACAACTCAATCACTTCCGTGGATACTGGAAGTTTCTACAACCTCAAAGTGCTTCATGAGCTCAGGCTGGATGGAAATATGATATCACTGTTTCCTTGGGAATCTCTAAAGGAAATGCCCAGGTTGAAGACACTGGACCTACACAACAACAGACTCACTAATGTTCCCACTGAGGCAATTCCATACCTGCTCAACATCACCTACCTGGATTTGTCCAGCAACAAATTATCAACACTGCCGTCAGACCTCATGGACATCTGGCCTCCTTTTAATGGAGAACCAATCTTGGCCAACTCCTCAAAAAAAATAGTGCTGGGTAAGATAAATTCAACGAAAATCATTTTGTTATAAGATATAAAAGCCAGGACAATATTTTTTTGTAACATTCACATTCGTCACCTAATTAAATGCATGTGTAATGAATGTGCATTTAATGAATATATGTACCACTGGTTAATTAGAAAGGGGCCAACAAGCTAATCTCTGCATCAACTGATAGCGCGGTTTGTAGGTATAGCTATAGGAGGGCAGGAGCACATACACAGATATTTTGTAAAAAAAAAAAAAAAAAACTCTTCAAGTTCTTGGTAAGTGAAAGCATGTTAAAAGTCATAGTATAAACAAGGCATCCTATATAAATAATCCAATTTTAAACATTGCCCTTATCAATTTATGATAGTTACAACCCTGTAGTTGTGTAAATGTAAAGATTGCTTATTATTGTTTGTGACCCAGTAATGTTCACGCTAACAAAGACTGGCAGAAAGAGTGCAGCCTTAGACTGGAGGTGGACCACAGGCAGCTTAGGTGCTTTGCCCTAAGACAAACTAATCTGATTAAAGGGCTTTTGTATGAAGTGGTGCGTACTTATTGCCTACTGCACCTGTGCAGTGTGTATTTACAGAATGTTGGAAATGAGTTCACGCAAGGGAGAAACGAAAACTCACACTCTTTAGATTGCACTGTCACGCTGAGTCAGATATTTTCAGCAGAGCTAATAAAGTTGAAGTAAACTTACATGTGTTCTTCATATAAACACAAATATACAGCATAGAGTTGTTCAATTTTGTCTAAATTATGTAGGACTGACTATTACGTGAAAGAAAGGCATTGGTTAGTGTTGGTTTGACAGGCTAAAAACATTCTTTAAGGAAGAAATTTCCATTTTTTTAATGCAGCGCCCTCCTTTTGGAGTATGGGACTGTGGTCAAGCCCCCCAAGTCATCTCATTCTCAACCTTTTCTCAAAACTCTGCTGAAAATACTGTAATTCATACAAAACTGCTATTCCTTTTTTAACAAAGAAATACATAAAACTAACAAGTCCAAATTACCTTCTAGGACAAAAGAAAATATTTTACATCCTTTAAAAAGGATCTGGTCCACATTTTGGGAACCACTTCGTATGGGAAATTACTATCTGCATGCTCAACAACCTGATGAGATGCCTATTTAAGATATTTTAGCATGTCATGTCTTCTCATTTGCAGGCCTTCAAGATAATCCCTGGTTCTGTGACTGTAAATTATCGAAGCTGATTGAAATTTCCAAAATGGCAAACACACCGGTGGTTTTCATGGACCTGTTCCTGACATGCAGTGGACCAGAGAATCTCGCCGGTGTACTTTTTCAGCGTGCCGAACTGGACAACTGTGTGAAGCCATCAGTGATGACTTCTGCGACAAAGATCACTTCAGCTTT